AAATAATACGATAAAAAATTTTTAATGATGACAAAAATAAATAATGCCTAGAATGTCAACTTTCAGAGAAATTTGGTGTTATTTTATAGCTATAAAAGAACACATTTCAAAACAATAAATATTGTCATTAGGTTTATAAGGATAAATCATTCCGAATAATTTCATTTTAACACATATTACAATTTAATTTATTGGAACAAGTTAATGTTATAATCAGAAAGGGGATTTCGTGGATACTATAGTAATTTTAGCAGTTGAATTAATGAATCGTGGATGCTCACTGCTAAGGAGTCCCATATTAGGAGGAAACTGCCGTCCAGTGCTTCCAGGATTTCCATGGTGGTCTAACTTTAATTGACTCATGAATTCAGCTATTAAAATTAATATTATAATGATTGAAACAATTCCTAGCTCAACGTACTCTACATTTGTACTTGATAAGTATCTGTTCATCTTGTAAAACTATTCGAATCGGTATTGATATACCTCTTAGACGTTTGGCAGTTTAATCATTAATAAAACGAAAATATTGACCTAGAATTATAGCTAGTCATTATGTTGTGTGTTTTTTTTCAGTCAGTATCATTAAAACAACGAATAACAAAGTAAACTAAGGGGTTTATTAAATACAGCATGGTGTTTCGAGTATTAGTTATTGTTGAATTAAATGGTTTAAACCATTCATTATTTTTAAACTGAAAATATTGTTTAAATTTCTAGTTTTAATTGTTAGACTGTCTTCAACTTACACTTGTTTGTTGTTAATTGTTATCGCTAGTTTTGACCATTAAAATATAAGTGAATACCGTATTTTGACTCAGTAGTCTTTTTTGTTTCTGTTTTTGATGATAGACACTTGCAGTAATTATTTTCTTTAAACTCACTCAATAATAACCTATTTGAAGTTGAAATCTAAATCTGTCAACATTATAACATAACTAGTGTCATTCATTATATATGATTATCTTTATTTAGAAAATGTTTCATAGTAATTAATTACTTTGTTTAGCAAGAAAGGCAATAAAGGGAAACATTCATAAACAGTCAGCTTTTTCGCTATAATCAAACTATGTCTTTTATGCAAACTATTTCTGTTATTGTATATAATTTTAACATTTATCATACCATGAAATTAATCGAAGACACGTGTAAATATCAAACAAAATGACGTTCCAAGATAAACGATAGTAAAACACGTGAATATAACTTCACTATTGATATTGATTCTCATCTTAGTCTTACATTATTTTCTAACGAATTATCAAGGCAGACAGCAATCCAATTCATGTGTAACAACTAACAGATTACAAGTCATCAATCTAAAATTCTATCTATTTACTCGTTTAAAGAAGAAATTAATCTGAATAATGATAATAAGTGTATATACTTAAGGCCTTTTCTATGTTTTAGTCATATCCATGTCTGATTAAAACTGGAAGAGAAGTGGAGAGATTAGAATTTGAGGTCATTCACATAGATACTGGAGAGTTAGTGATACTAATGTGATATTAGTCATCTGACTGAAAGACTGAATAAAAATGTTTATCATTATTATTTTTATTATTATTATTACTATTGTTTACTCAAGAAGATAGTGTGTGTGTATGTGTGTTTAATTACTACAAAGAAAGACGTTATCGTACATCACATTATTCAAAGAATAATTGTTTACTTTATTTGTATCCACACTGTTGGAAAATAGTAACCCTCTATAATTCATAAATGTATGTGTGTGCGTTCTTATAAACATGTGACTATCAGTAATATATAGTTGTAAGGCTGACTAATCAACATAACAACAACAGTTCCAATTAAGTCTTTATGTAATGGTCAGAAGAGTATGATATTATAAAACGTTATTTTGAACATACCTTCATTTAACTATTCCTTTCAATTGCTAATAGATTTTATGTGTTCGCCACTCCCCTTCCGTATCGAGAACTGTAATTGTCATATATGCCGTCTGATTGGTCATGTATACACAAGACGAGTAATCTGGAAATAAGCTATAATATTTAAAATTGGATTGAGCAAACTGAGTGGATAACGCGATGGCGTTTGAAACGAATGGTACTGGGTTCGAGTCCTAGGGTGAACATCAACTCTGAGATGCAGGTATATTCGGCTGACGATTCCCAAATAGGACGAAACGCGCGTCTTGGATTCCACTGCTAGCCACTATCCATCTTTGCTTACAAATTTCTGATATTAAAAATTTCCTATCAAACATCTTACTGTAAAATCATTCGAATGGAAAATTATTGTAGTCTATAGATTCGTTTCGAGGATTTGAACTTAATTCTTTCTATACTTTCTATGTTGACTATAATCACATAAAGACTTTTTAAGGGTTAATTATTAAAAGCGAGCTAGTATAAATGTACGTAAAGGACTGGATTCATTTAGTCCGTTAGGAAAGCAGTAAAATAAATCGTTAAGTTAAAGGGTTTTTTCATGTACTGTTTGTTAATCAACTTCCAAATATATTAACACTTGAAATAGATTTAGATCGTTAAGTGATGTAAGCTAGATAAAGGTTGCAAATTATTGAGGAATGAATTGTTGTTTAGTGTGTGATACTCTTCATGAATGAAGAATTAAAATATCACGCGAGACAAAAACCTGAGTCGTTTTCTCCTTATTGTGATCGTCAAACTACCAAATCAAAGATCGTGAATCAAGTCCTTCTTGTTTTTCATCAATCAACCTAAAGTGACATTTAGTAAACTTGAATAAACGTCTTTAAAAATACCTTACATATGTTTGACGGAAAAAAACAGGTCTAACAAGTTTACTATATTTTCTGTCTGTTGATGTTTTCATGGTATCACAAAATTTTTAACATATTGTTTGGTTGATTACTATGTTAGTGAATTGTTACCATAACAACGATTTTTGAGATTAACAGAATTTATATTTTAAGAGTTCTTCCATTTATCTCAGCTTGTATTTTATCGGTTGATATAGAGATGATAATGACAAAATTTCGGCCTGACATAGCAGTATATTTAGATCAAGAGTATGAGAAATTCTACCCGACTTTCGATCATTTTCAGTACTTCCAAGAGTCACCCAAATAAAGATTATAAATCATTTATTATATCATAGGTGACTCATTTGATTTTTTGTACACTTGCTATTAAGAATCGTTTCGTATATTTAATAATAGTCTAAGACTTTCAAAATCTCTAGAAGGTGTATTGTATTTCTGATATTGGAGACGGTTTTTAAACTCTGTCATTCTTCGTGCTCATAGGAAACTAACCTGGAAAACAACACTGGGTTTACTATAACTGGTGTTTTCTCTGACAACTAAATTAGTGTATGAAGTGATACCACATTCAACTTCAGTTGTAAATATCGGTTGATACGATCAAATTTAATTGTTTAAGGATTACAGAACTTACAGGAGATGCTAATTAGTGATAGTGTTTGATAAACTACTATTATTAACGCATGCACTATACGTTATCACTGTAAAAATTGAACATATTTGTTATTGTATGGCTCTGAGAGTGAAATTTTTTGAAAATAGATTTATTCAGTTGGTCACACTATTGTTTCATGTTTAAGCAGGTTTACTTACATACGAAGATCAACGTAAAACTGATTTATATAAACAAAACATAAATAATTTTTAGTGACCTGTATTGATTGTAAGTGAAACATAATGTTGCGTTTAGGAAAAATTCTTCAACTAGCCAGTACATATTTACTGAGTTCTGGTGAAATACTCGGTATCAAACTATGGGAATCAAGCCTCTGTAGTAAAGAAGAGACAATAAAGATTTTACTGCCAACGTTAGTATATTACAAAATAATCTCATTATATTTTTCGGCTTTTTTAATTCGATCTATCTCAACCTAATATACTATCTTTTAATTGAGGTAATATCAGTTTGACGATCATCAGTCATGTTTAGTTGACCTATGATATTGACACTCCATCTTTTTTAAATATTTGTTTATTAAATATCCAATTATTCTTATATTGAAGAAAATTTGTCAAGCTATCTAACATTAATATTTATCTGATAATTCAATAAGTTCTTTGAAAAAAGTACATAAGCTATACCATACACTCAACTGGGAAAAGTGTTGAAATGAGGAAACAATGTGAACGTCCTTTATCATAGGACTTTTGATCAAATCAAGTTTGCTGAAAACGCTTTAAAGCAATTAGTCCCTTTTATAAATTTCTATAGAACAATGAGAAGACGGAGTTGATCTGATCACATTTTTCAGATCAACTCCGTCTTCTCATTGTTCTATCGAAAACGCTTTAGTAAATTCGATTTGCTTTAAAAAGATTATGAACACAATTTATGTGAATAGTTTATTCATTAACAATTTATAGACTGAACTTATTGTTACGTATAGAGAATAAATGGTAACTACTTGAATTTCACGACGATTAGGCCTGATTATTTAAACTCGTTTCATTCTTCATAATTGCCTTATTACTTAAAATTACTTTATCCGTTGTTTCTCGGATTATCTGCTTATCTAAAAATACCAAATACAGTACTTAATTTTATACATTATACATTTAGCTTTTCTCTGAATATTGCGTTTTTTTAGTTATCCATTTTCAGCAGTACAGTAATGAAAAAAAATTTTCTGTTTGATAAATTGTCTAATTCATTCAACTTTAATATCTTTAAAAGTTACTGTAAAAGATATCAGTAACATAATTCATTTTTAAACGAAAATTCCTGATTACACTGTAAGAGAAAGCTAAAGTGACTGCAGCGATTGACTAAATTACTGAACATATTTCCTCACCGTTAAATAACTTCTAATAGTTTTAAAACTAATTTCGCACAATTTTGATAACACAGAACTTTTCAAAAACTTGGTAAGACTAGTTAGTGAAAGTATTGGTTCATTTTGATTTACTCGTTATTCTGCTATTTATATATGTTGTCTTCAATAGACAACATGATTTCCGAATCTCATTCTATTCAGAAATAATTACTGACATAATGAAAAGGAAATTTGTATCATATAAAAGTTATGAGGGGAGACAAATATTACACCGCACATGAAAAAGAAGAGACCAATCAAAATGAAGTAAGTCATAAATAAGAGAAACAGTAAATTAATGCTCAATCATTTTCTCTCTCCCCAAGTTTCTTAAATAATGGGAGAAATAAAATATTAAAAAAAGGATATGTGAAATCCTCAGGATTCATTAAGCCGTATGTATAAATAACGAGACCTAAAATTGAGCATTAACTTCATTTATTAAAAACAACGACAATCAATATAAACTGTAACAAAATTCAGACACGATGAACAACGGAATCAGCGAAAACAGTGATTACCAATTCTCTAAATTCATCAAGTGCACACATCAAAATTCGTCTATATTTTACACAGTTGAACATATTCATAAACAGACCTTAAACAGTCAGCGAAAAAAAATACAGGCAACAATAAAAAATACAGTTCAGAAGGCAGCACATAGACTAACCTCCTCTACGACATCAATGTCATCATTATGCACTTCACCACCTAATCCACATAAACGTGTAGCGGCCAACTTGAGGGAACGTAAACGTATGCGTTTGATTAATCATGCATTCAATGGATTACAATCTCATTTACCCAAGGAATTATTACGTCCAAATACATTATTGAGTAGTATGAATCCAAAAATATGCACTTCAATTATACATAGACACCGAAATTTTAATGTAGAGTTAAGCAACAAACAAGTCGATAGCCAATTGATATTGCAGTCTGTAAATCCAACCAGCTCATATTTTCACAAGGAGACCATTTCAAAAGTTGATGTGTTAAGAGCCGCAATAAACTACATTCACATACTTGAGGAGATTTTGGACGAACTGAAAGATGAACATTGTCCTGAAACATGGGATAGTGCTGCTGATCAGATGAACACACGGAAACTGGACTGTAAGCAGACACAACATAGTAAATATCACGTTTGTTGTTTATGTTCGATCACGCATTCGAATGAAGACCGTGTGAACAAGTACCACAAGCAGTTAATGAGTGGTACAGTAATCAAAACAGGTGAGATAGAGTATTTGATGATATTTTGAAATATTATTAAATAGGTGCCGAAAGAAGAGGGTTGGTAACAAAACAAAACATCTGCAATACTAGCCTCAATAATTGTCGGATGCCTAACAAAGACTAGTAAACAGCAAATACGAAAACATCACACTAATTACAGACATGGTCGTGGATGTATCGATTACATAATCACCATTCATTAGAACTTAGAACACAGCCATGCTTAATGGCGTCTGACAATGGTAGTTTTTCTTGACTAAAAAGCAGGAGTTCACTCTGTAGACCGAGAGGTTCTGTGACAATACGTGTCATAGGAAAGTGTACCACAAAAGTATATAAACGTTCTAAAACCTCCTTACTCGTACATTACTAGTAGTGTCAGAACTTACGGCGAACTGCCATCTTATTTCGCGACCCCAAATGGTGTCAAGTAAGGCTGCCCACTATCCACATTATTGTTCAATTTCATCATAGACCTACTGCTGGAAATAACGTTCTAGTCGTCCGAACTTCCAGCAATCCATCTCCTACCAGAAGGTCCAATTATCTACTTAAAATACGCAGATGACATATTCCTGTTTAATGAAGACACTGACAAAATGAAGTATCACTCGGTAGCACTGAGCAACAGTGACAGCATGTTTGGAATGCGTTTCTTCCTTTCTAAATGCAAGCTGTTGCTTCAGGACTGGTCTGCGTCAACATCTGAACTAAGGATAGGGAGTGGAGTTGTCGACGCGTTCGACCTGATGGGTTGATAACTGAGGAAATCTCTGCACAAATTCAAAAAGCTCGTTTGGCTTTTGACAACCCACATCACCTATGGAGAAGACGAGATATCCGTCTATCAATAAAAGGACGAGTATACTGTATGGATGTGAAATGTGGCCATTAAGGGTAGAAGACACTCGTAAGTTATTAGTATTTGATCACAGATGTCTTAAAAATGTGGCCAGCATCTTGTCGTGCTAATGGGGTGTGGCAACTTGGACCGATGCATATGTGTGCCTGGTCCTACCTCGTAGCTGACTGACTGAATTCACGTACATTTCAGTAAATAGCATTAATGAATATTCTTCAATAACACTTACAATCGATATTTCTCTATTGATTTATCATATTTGTCATTTTTTCGTATGCCTCCGACACGCTTCTGATAGTCATCTGTCCTTGATAAGACAGCTATCAGTAGAGACTTCTCTTTCACCGTCACATTAAAATCATCCATTTACAGATGTATTCTAAAAAGGATACTTTGAATTCAGGTTATCATATAACAGTGGCTAAAGAACAACATATGTCAACAAGATTCACTGAAGTCTCTTCGTTAAACTACGAGACAGTTCATAAGCTTAATTACAAAACAATCCATTAGAATTGGTCGTTCACAATATGCAAATATCTATAACACAGTTCCAAACATCTAACTTTGTTTGTTATAAGTACTTTTGTTCACAAGATGGGAAACAAGAGACAGTCAAAAATTGAGTCTCCTAGACAAACATGTGTTTTGGAACTCAAATCGATTGTGTAAATATTCACTAATAATTTGTGATTTTAGGGGAATTCATGTATTTGGATATTTAGCAGAACGGTTGGTGTAGAAAATATTTACAACAAAAGCACTTTGTTAACTAGTGTCACCTTGTCTCATCATGTGTATTTCAGTAGAGTCTATTGTCTGACACACCGATGAAAACCTCTTAACAAGTTCGAATAAATTCTTGAGAAATCTAAAGTCAACACCGACATGTGCAGCAGTATCAAAAGATTATTATTCTTTTTCAAAATGAAAGGATGTCAGTCGTGTATTTATTGTTTTACAAACATGATTCACAATCGAACACATGTGTAAATAAAGCAAATTATCAAATTCAAATCGATCATCAAAGCGTCGTTAGGGTTTGACAAAATAAAGCTGAAATAAGACAAAGTGGCTACACTTCGCACACAGTAACAATAGTGGTGATAATAATATGTGAGTAGTGTGGGGGAGAACTCCAACAATATGAAAAGAACAAATCCGATAACAATCGTGTTAACATGAATTCAAATGACCGGTTATAGCAACTTCAATATATGATGTGATATGATATCGTTTGGAGAGAACTAGAGTGTGTGATTAAACAAAATATTTGTCTTGTTTCAGTATTCCGATTCGCAAAATATTCTTTGTGGACAATTGTAGATAGAAATAGCACTTAGTTTGTGTCGTAAGATGAGAATGATTGCCAATATATTGATACACGTGGGTTATAACAACTCTCGAACGCTTTTAGTCAATCATAATGGCCATCATTTTCATGCCAGGCATGAGTAGCTAGAGAACTGAGTATTATTAGGTTTCAACACAGCCTAATCACTAGAAAAGACGAATTCCTAGTGAATACTTTATTGTATTCTGTGGTTCGATTTAGTCATTAATACATGCTAATATCTGAACAATCGGCTCTGTAGATCAAGGAGACTAAGACTGTATCAGAATCTTTATTATCGAAGACCGAATAATAATGTTTGAAGCTCATGCATATTTATAGACTGCCATTTTAGCAAGAACACATGCTTCGCTTCCTAGGTTATTGAAAAATTCACTTATCAACTATAATTCACCCACACTCCCATTTATCACTATGCTGCCTCGAGATCACATGTGATCTATGAGACCTGTTTGCATTGTGAAGCAACATCATAAAATGAGTGAATGCTGATAAATCTTTTATCGGTTAATCCAATTAACATTTCGAATATTGTAATTGCGAACGATCTAAATGTAAATTGCTTGCATTGGATTTGTCGGAGTTCTTATCATCCACTTCACTAGCTGTGTATTGAAGAGAACATGATGGTAGTTAGTTTGAAACTGTCTTTGATTCGTTACATGTATTTCTGTTGCACACAACCTAGTAATTAGACGTCAATCTATCAACTACATTAATTGAAATACAACATGAGGTTGGTTTCAATGAACATTTGCGATAACATAAGTCCAGTGTTCCTACAGACTACTTCCAACCACCTAGAATCTCAGAATGATACACTTGATGTTAAGTCACTTAGACCAGCGGCCACATTTCAATTCGATCGACAGAATTCTTTCAGCACTAGAGGAATAGATAAATCCAACATCGGTCGCCACTCAGTGACCAATCAACTGAGTTGCTTTCATTTATCTGTCATTGAGCAATAACCATTATCATTTTGTCCAATGCTTGGAAGAGGTCAAATTCTGTGGACTGGATTTCCACATGGTCATCAGGTTATGCAGCTTGACATAGATTCAAGGCTTCATGCTGACTGTCTTCAGCCACTTAGCGTCAAACTTTGTGGACCATGATGTAGAGTCATACTCTAATGAACATAATACAATATCATTGAGACAATTCTGTCAGCACTGGTTATCAAACATAACATTGGTCACTGATTTGTGACCGAGTAGTAGAACTATATTATTATTATTATTATTATTATTATTATTATTAAATTTAACAGGTTCAGTTTAATATCGTAGCAGCTCTCTAGTTGTTAATTATTTTCCCTTTAACATAGGTGCAAATTCTTTGCCCATATTTGTTAGCTGGCAACGGGAATTCCAAAACAGAACAGAAAATCTAACACACAATGAACAGCCTTTAGACTTTACTCCGTACGAAGCATATTCAAATGGTGTCAAAACGTCTGAACCCAGTGCAACCAAAATAAACTACTCAAACGACATTAGTCACTCGAAATATATAAGAATACAAAATCCTCAGCATGTAATTCGATGTAAGCAAACATGGTGGCCAAAAGTACAAAACGTACACACTTCCGTAAATAACTCAAGGAAAATAATTCAGTTTACTGATTTATATGAAAATAAATAAATATTTCTTGTAAATACTAATGATATCTCTCAATTCGATTATTATTATTGCATTTATATTTAAAATCAAACTAGTGTTTTTCTATAAATGGACATGTTTGATCAAGGTTTTGCTGATAAAATATATATTTGATCAGACTAATCAGCGAATACAAAACTGTTATGTGACGCACCAAATACTCGGTTTACACATCTCCAGATGAACATGTATATACATAGTTTAGCCATTATTTAGTAATGCTATAATCTGGAGTTACTTTTCGTGAACAGCTGTTGAGCATTGCATATCTTGCTATGAATTGATGATTTAGATGTGTAAAACAAGTAAAGAATTTAAGGAAAGTGAAAATTAATAAGTTTATGAAAAATATCGTTAAGTTCATTGAACTACCAATATTTCTGTAATATGATAATGGAAAAATATTACAGAACACAAAATAAGGCAAACGCAACACAGTGTAGAACTAGACAAATCAGTCAGATATAGATGGGATTCAAGAGAAATTGTGTCACTGTTATCAGAAAGGTTATTAATACAACACAGAGATATGTAACTTTAATTTTACAGATGAAGAGTGTGAGTAACAATAAACATTAAAGTTGTTTATTAAATGCAGCAATTCTAGAAAAATGTAACGATCAGAATAAGCCTTATGAGCATTAAATGTCTTCATTTATCATGTCTTAAATTTGATTTTGAGAAAATTGTCTTCATGATGTTAGAAAATGACAAGTGATTTCGATGAACAAATAGTAGCATAGCTTGCATAGTTAAAGTTCATTTGTCCTATGAAAGCAGTAATTCATTTAATTGTTCTTTAGAAACCTTTTTCAATATTATGTAATGAGGTTAACTTTAATCAACTTGTTATGAATCATCATGGTACAAAACTATCAATTAATTATGTCAATGGAGGTCATATCAAATTGTGAATTATTGTGCAAGGGATTACATTTTTAATTAATTGTCCTCCCACTTCATGATAGGATCCTGATGGAATTATATACGTATTTTACGTAATTTGGATCAGTTTATTCAACCTGACAACTATATCATTTGATTAGTAAAACAAGTGTCTATCTACTAGCATATACAAAGATTACTAGAAAATGAGGTAAATTGTGACAGATACTGATTATTACCCTTTTCTATGTCAAAATTTA